ACATACCAGTTCCTCTGATCACAAGTTAATATATAAATGCTAAATTTTTACATACATTTGATGCAAGACTAGTATTCCATTCTTTAACCTGAGCGAAGGTATTGCATAGGTACAAATAACTTCTGAAGATAGGAACAGAATGGGCACCTACCTAATATATAAAATCAATATATTAAAAAATAATATTTTAAACTAACATTACACAGATATTAGAACAGAACAAAATTATCTTATATATAAATTAAAGATCTCATATAATTTATCTTACTTGTAAATAGTTTTTTTTATTGTTGTTGTTTTTAATTTTTTAAATATTTTAACTAAATTTGATGACCACAAACAAGACAAAGACCTTGTCTATAAAATGAATTTTTGCCACGCCCAGAACACACAACACACTTTCTCACCTTAGAGGCTTGAAACTTTCTATCAGCTTTGCTGTGCAATTCAAAACAAGATGCAGCTTCTGCTCCTGATTTCTTACTGAATGCAACTGTCTTAATTCCTTATTTACGCTATTATGCAAACACTCTCCCTCCCCTTCACTTAGCAACCCAATAGTTTTATGGAATTTTACAAATAGTGACACATTAAAAATAAGTTCATGCATTTTTCGTGTGATACTTTCATTTGGAAAGCAAGCATGAAACTCAATAGCAAATAAATTTATATATTGATGAAGCTCAGTAATTTCAGCATCGGAAAGAAATTTTTGCCGAAAAAGAATAGGTTGCAACTTATTAAAAACACTAAACACACGTACAAATCTATTTTTAATTGCTTCATCATCAATAACACTACAAAGTTTATAGTGGTTTCTTAATACTATTTTGCAATGATTACCTACAAATACATTACAAAGCTTGTCGCTCAACCTTTATATCTTCAAGGGTCTTATAAAGAGACCTCTCATGAGGCCCTATGCTTTTTTTATATTCTTTTTCTAGGTCTTCACACTCCGTCTGCAATCAAATATACTCAACGTCTAAAAGTTCCCGTTGTGCGCGTATAAAAGAAATTTTTTCAGAAATATAAAGGTCAAGACATTCTATATCTTCACCCTGACATGCTAAACACTCATACTTCTCAATTTCACACAATACACTCTTTTCCGAACCACCAATAATTTCACAAAATTAATAAAACAATTTTTGGCACGTACCACACTGCACCCAATTAATGTTACAATCGTATTTTTTAATTAAACACCTAATACTTAAATTTTTTTATTAAATCACACATTTCTTGCTGTGTACAGGTTATTTTTTTATTGAAGGAGTTTAGAGATAATTCAGAAATACTTTAAAAGCTAACCAACGCGCCTGTAGATTTGCAATGTCTACAAATTGATTTCCTAATAAACGTAAAGTTTCTGCTGTTTTAGAACATTCAACGCTTTTAGCAGCCCACAATTCATTCGTTCTCACATTCTCATTATGCGACAAAGACAAAACAGCTTGACAATCTAAAGTCTTACACTCCTTCAACAATAACTTACACAGTTTTAACACAACTCCTAAACTAATATGCAAAACAGGTTGCACTACATTATCTAAAGTTATTATGGGGAAAATCACAGGAGCAATAATTGAATTATGAAACTTACCTAAAGTTCTTAGGTTTCCACCTTTTCACACAAGTTCTCATTGTAAGCACTTTCCAGAGATTGTATTGTCCTCCTTAAAATGTTACAATTAGCAGGTGTGTGAGGCATAGAAGCATGGTTTCTTAGAGAATTCAACTTAACTAGGTCTGTAGAACTAGGAAACCTAGCAGCTGAACCCTGGTGTCCCAGAACATCATCAATAAAATGAAAATCTATACCTAAGAACAACCTGACTATTTTGCCTTTTAGCTTTAAATCTGACGACTGAATTCTATTAATGTCGTTGGCAAAATGCCCGAGAACTAAGGCTATATTCTCACGACAGTCTGAACCCTGATACATACAAAACAAGTGAACATCGTATACAAACCCTGATGATTTAGAATTGACAACTTCAAAATGGAATTTCATATACTTCCCACCCTTATCACCAGCAAAAAGTAGCCATACTTCTTCGCCAAAACCGACATCCGAATTAAGGTGGTCGCGTACATAAAATTTATTAAAAACCTCTTCAATATAAGTTGTCAAATTCTTGACCATCAGTACAGATAATAAACAAGGTGTTTCATTCGCAGATGGATAAAGAGAGTGCCATGGCACTCTCGTACTACCAATATATGAAGAATGTGGCGAAACAATGGGGGCCATCCATAAAGGACGTCATCCAAATAGGGGGGGAGGGGGTCGAGTTAAAAAGGACAAAAAAGGACAAGGGGAGGGGGGAAGGTTGTCAGAAAAGGACGTCGCTTTTTAGATTTTTTATTTTAGTTTAAAAAGGATGTCAAAAATTGGCTAAAAAATGGTGACGTCCTTTATGAATGGCCCCATGGTAGTTTTTTTTTTGTGTGTGGCGGCCTTGACGAAGATAACAATGTTCCAGAATGGACAAACGAAATTTATCCTTACAACCTTCAACTCAGCATTATACCTCACTTATAAATACATAAAAGAGGCATTGGAGTTGTCAGTCTGGATTTAAACTAAGATTTTTTCTGTTCAAAAAGACCAAAATATTCAAAATGTCGATTTTCTTAAGATACGTGGTATTTATTATGAAATAAGAGATGTCACGTCTTGTTCAGATTTTGATGTAATTTATTTTAAAACAATAGTTACAAAAGCAGCAAACAACTGTAAATATGAAATTGTGAAGTCTCCAACCTTCCGTGGCAATATAGCGCATGCGCTATATTGCCACGGAACATTAGAAACATTATTTTTTCGAAAGTGGCGCCAATTTCGAAAAAATAATGTTTGTTATCATCAAATAAAATAATCCAACAAATTATATCAAGGAGTTATAAGTGAAACATCGTTTGATTTTTGAACTTTTAAAATTGCGTCTGTACTCAAAATTGTGACAACACGCTTTAAAGATTTAAGACAAAAAATAGCAGTTGAATCTTTAGTATTACCTTTACATTTTTCAGTGGGTGCATCGAATTGTCTACCGTACACCCACGTAAATGAAAGTTTAGGAACATGCGATAAAGTTACTTTTTTGTGATGAAGAGTAGCTATATCAGTTTTTAATGTATTGTTATCCTTTATTTTATTTTTTACTCGCTTTTCGATGTTCCTTGCAGCGCAATCAAAAAAATTTTTGTGCAGATCAGACATTTAACTAGAAGCTATAAAAAAAAGTTGAATTTATTGAAAAACACCTTTTGTGCCTAAAAATGTGTTTTGGTATTGTTATAAAAGGTTTCAGGCAATTCCACATATTCTATATTTTAGAACAAGTTATTAATTAATAATATATATATTATTGAGTAATAACTTGTTCCACATTGTAACCACAATTTAAAAAAATATATAATATATATAAAAGATGAATTCATACCATATATTCATATTATGACATATACTACTTATTACGTTATGATATTTATTATTATTATTTATTCCATAATGACATATGTAGCATACATTCATTCATATCTAAATTCATTCAATAACTGTAAATAAAAAAAAAAACATTTATTCATTTCAATCTTCATCTTCATTTTCACTATTTTCAAATACGATTTCAGGATGACTTTCATGCAAGGGACAAATTTTGTTTTTCTTATTGTGTCCTTCCTGTTGACATTTTGAACATTTAACAACTATTAAAGAAGGAAGATTATTTTCTGTATAACAAAATTGCTTGCACCTCATCCATTCCTACAGTAAACATATGATGAGCTCAAACAATAAAACCTAAGAAAGCTATAGCCAATTGAGCATATATCATACCTAAGTATCCAAAAACTTGATTTTTTGAGCTAAATATAGGTATGATTTGAGATATAATTCCAAATCCTGGAATTTTTAAAATATAAACTTTAGGGTGACCAAAAAATCAAAATAAATGTTGATATAAAACAGGGTCTCCTCCTCCAGCTGGGTCAAAAAAAGTAGTATTAAAATTAGTATTAAAATCAGTTAATAGCATAGTTATTGCTCCTGCTAAAACAGGTAAAGAAAGAAGTAATAAAAATGCTGTTATTAACACTGATCATACAAATAAAGGAAGTTTATCAAATGTTAAACCCGGTGTTCTCATATTAAAAATAGTTGTAATAAAATTAATTGCTCCTGCAATGGAAGAAAATCCAGCACAATGAAGACTAAAAATAGCTAAATCTACAGATCCCCCTGAATGAGCTAAAGGCCCAGATAATGGGGGGTAAACAGTTCAACCTGTTCCTGCTCCTTGTTCAACTAAGGATGAAGTTAAAAGTAAGATTAATGCTGGAGGAAGTAATCAAAAACCTAAATTATTTAATCTAGGAAAAGCCATATCTGGGGCTCCTATATATATAGGTACAAATCAATTCCCATAACCTCCTATTAAAACTGGCATAACTAAAAAAAATATCATTACAAAAGCATGAGCTGTGACTATAACATTATATAAATGATCATCTCCTATTACTCTTCCTGGTGCTGATAGTTCTATTCTAATTAACATACTTAAAGCAGTTCCTATCATTCCAGAAAATGCGCCAAAAATTATATATAAAGTTCCTATATCTTTGTGATTAGTTGAAAACATTCAACGTGTGATTCAATTATACACTTATTTTTTGAAAAAATAAATAATTTTCTAATATCCCTATTATTGGAATAATAAATAAAAAGTAAAAAAAAATAAAATAAACTAGAAATTATACTAATCAATAATAAGGGTTTTCTATAGGTTTAGAACCTAATCAAGTTAATAAAATAAAATTTGCTATAAACACTCAATATAATAATTTCCCTATTGGTCTAAAAGTTAAAGAAAAAAATTTATTAGTATGTAAAAATGGAATAATAAATAATATTACTATACTTAAAATTAAAGCTAAAACTCCTCCTAATTTATTAGGAATAGATCTTAATATGGCGTAAGCAAATAAAAATATCATTCTGGCATTATATGAACAGGGGTAACTAATGAATTAGCATTGATAAAATTTTCTGGGTCTCCTAAAGTATTAGTATAAAAAAATACTATGAATAGTAAAATAAATATTAATATAAAGAATCGGCAAAATGTTAGCAAATCCAGCATAATTTTGGCCGGATTTCTGAATTTTGGTCAGATGTTTATTACATCTTTCTTGCCCGTGATAACATGTATACATAATACTTAATTTTTGAACTTCATGTTTGTTTTGGTATCTGTACTTACATTTCTTTACAATTCAATTAGCTAAGCCTAATTTCAAACAAAAATGCAACAAAAAATTCTGATGAGAAGACACACAATATTCTGCAATAATGCAGGTGTAAAGACTATGAAGTCAATCCTAATTAAGTCATTAGATGAGCGTTTGAAAGGCATTGAGGAGAAACCTTTTTAGGTTGAAAAAAAAAAGAAAATCCAGCAAAACAATCCCGGCTGGATAATTCTTATACATTATCATCATTACAATGGCAATATATATAGATGAAATTATTCAGTCTACACCCGCTTGTGGCACAGCACATGAACAACAATTACCAACAGGCATTGACACTCAGCTAAGCCAATATCTGGAAGAATCAGAAATATATAGACACGCTGATTTGCTACAGTGGCGGAGTGACAACATCCCGGGAAAAAAAGTTCTATAGAATTTTTCTAAATTTTTGAAACATATGGCCTATAGAAACTCTATAAAATTTATATAAAATGTCTATTAATTTCTATAGAAACTGCTATAAAACTTTTAAACAACAAAAATGATGTTTAATAGAAAATAACTGTCACTTGGTGATCTAAATAGTTTTGCTTCGAAATCCGGCTCCGGCTCCAATTCCGGCCGGATCTGTTAGTAAAAATCCGGCAAATCCGGAAAAAAAAAAAAATCCGGCCGGATTTGGAAAAATTAAATCCGGTACAGCCCTATATATATATATATATATATATATATATATATATATATATATATATATATATATATATATATATATATATATATATATATATATATATATATATATAATATATATAATATATATATATATGTATATATATATATATATATATATATATATATATATATATATATATATATATATATATATATATATATATATATATATATATATATATATATATGTATATATATATATATATATATATATATATATATACATATATATATTATATATATTATATATATATATATATATATATATATATATATTTTATATATATATATATTTTATATATATATACATATATATATATATATATATATATATATATATATATATATATATATATATATATGTATATATATATATATATATATATATATATATACACAATACATATATAATAATTTTGAAAAATATTTTTTCAAAATGGAGTTTTGAGATTTCTTTCAAAAAGCTATTTAACGAAAAATGTCGAAAACTTAAAAAAGAGGAATAGTTCAGAAATATATACATACATCGACAAACTAAAATAGGGACAGGCGTAGTAGAAAGTGAAAGTAAAAAGGCTTTCGGTTGGGCAGGTACTCAAAAAGAACAATTTAAAGAAACTATTAAAAGCATACTACTCTGCTTAAAATAAGAACATATAAATCTTTATTTTGAGTATTGCTTGCACAGTTGCAGCAAAAAAAAAATCAGCCTTTTCGAAATTATTATTTTTTCATTTCGAAATAATTCCATCTCCCTAGGTTTCAAAACTATTCCGATTTTGAAACTTTCGAATTTATTACATGGTTTTAAACTTATTCTAGATTACGATTTTTCAAAATTATACCTTTTTGCGATTTTGAAATAGGTATTGCTACCCAAAGAATGCTTTAAAAATTAATCTTTATTTTTATAAACTGTTGAAATAAATTATTTTGTAAATTACTTATTTTGCCTCGTTTGATGATTTTTCTTTAAAATAATTAATTCAAAGTGATAAAAAGAAATTAAATGTTGAAGTCTCTTGAATTTTAAAGTGTGTTTTACCTTAATGTGTTTGTAGAACTATTGGTAACTTAATTAAAACTGATAGTAATGATGAAAAAATGGTAGTATTGCTGGCAAAAAGCGTTTTGAGTGACCTAGAAAGACAACAATCACTGATGATGTTTCTATCTATAGAATCGCCAGAAGAAATATACTATATACTCAGCGAAACATATTGCACAAGAAACAAACCTGGCATTTAAAAGTTGCTACAAATGAACCTAAGTCTAAATATATTTATATAAACAGTTAGATTTTTACATTTTTATAATATAAATGCGGAGGCTTGTAGAAGACCTAGGTCTTGTCATCAAGAACGATACGAAAATGTCGCTAGAACGTTAAATATAAATAAAATAGCAAGACAAAAACATAAATAGGTTTGACAAATTATAGATAACAAATAGTGGTTAAATATATATAATGTTAAAATAAAATTTTCTATTAAAATAAAATGTTTAAATACTTTAATAAGCGAATAAAAGCAACTATTCGAAAATATAGAAAAATGATTTCTTTTAGTTTTCTTTTAAAGGAATAATAACTTCATTTACGAGCAAAATCAAAGTCTTTCAAAACTATTTTGTTTAATTTATATTGAACTTAAATTTTGGTTGTCGTATAAAATTATTATTTCGTTATGTATATTTATTTTTTTTCTTTACATGAGTATAAATCACTAAAAGAAACTGCACACGAGTTTTGCATTTAAGCATATAACAAAGTACATTGAAAGTGTTAACCTCATAAATATCAAGAATGTTTATGTTATATAAAAGAGGCTTGGCATGAGTAAAATGATCTTTTAAATTAATAAGATGTGCTACATACTTTTTTTGACAATGTAGAGACTTTAACTTACTTTTGTGGTTATTACCTCAGGCAACATTACCATAAATTATGTGACAGTGAATCAAAGAGTAATATAGTTAAATTAAATGTCTGATTAAAACGCTTGTCGGTTTATAAAGAATTCCAATACTTTTTGAATTTTTTTTGCATAAATTACAAGGTGGTATTTCCATGAAAGATTTTCATTTGTAATAACACCTAAAAAATTTGTATACATGATCTTTTTATATGCATGTTATCAATGATAAGCTCAGACAATTCACACGATAGTATATGCTTTTTTGAAGCTGGATGAAAGAGAATCCATTTTTTTTTTCAGTGTTTAGCGAAAGTTTATTTGATTTAAACCAGTCGGAAACTTTCTTTATTTAATATTCATATCTTGAAATAATTTGTTGATGTTATTTTGGGATAAAAAAAGATTAGTTTTATCCGCAAACATTAATGTAATTAAGTTAGAGGCTCTATAGAGATCATTAATATAAATAAAAAATAATAGTATTCCTAGTGCGGAGCTCTGAAAAACTCCACATAATAATTCTAAAATATTGGAAGAAGTCGATGCATCAATGTTAAACAAAATTAACGATTTTTTTACGATTGATGCATCGAGTATTTGAGTACATTGAGAGATTTTTGTAACAGTGTGGTTGGGACTTTAAACTCGATCATTATCCCCCATTTAATAATGTCTAGCCAAGGTTTTAATGAATATTATTATAAAATATACATAACATAATAAAAAATAAATATTCTGCAAAATTTTTTTAACAATATTCAACTCCATGGAATAATAAGTTGACGTCACAATTATTGTCAACATTAAAAATACAACTGTGTTTTTGATGATAAACTGAAAAATCGCTGCGTTTTAGCTATGCTAAAAAAAACTAAAAATACAAATACTTTTTAATTCATAGCTTGGTTTTTATATTAGTTTTAAGTATGCCCAATTTTTTTTTTTACTGTAAGGATGCAATCTTTTAGAAAAATATTGTTTGAAAAAGTCTTTCAATCGTTAAGAAAAATTGAGTTTCGTTAGAAATTTAATTAACTCTAAACATACCTCACTTTTTAGATTCAAAAAAAAGTAATAAGAAAACTTGAATATACATACATACATATATACATACATATGCACACTCACACACACATATACTCAGATATGTATAAATATATATATATATATATATATATATATATATATATATATATATATATATATATATATATATATATATATATATATATCATATATATGTTTATATCTAAAATACACCTTACATAATGCTCTTTATCTAAACACAAATAAGATGGTATTTTAACCACTATACAAAAACTGATTTTTACAAACGCATATCTACGTACTTGAAAATCCCATGAGTAATTTTCCACCAAAGTTGCTAGTTATTTTAGAAGTAGGGTTGTTATTTGCAGATATTGTTAAGCTGATATTTGCCAACAAAATACAAGCCAGTATTACAAGTAAACGCATTTTATTATAATTTTCCGTTCTATTTTTATTAAGCTTTTTTATTTAAGATTTTTATACTAAAATCTAAAATCGAAACACCTTTTAAGATTGCTAAAAACTTATTTTTGGTGTTACATGATATCTAATAACATTTCTTTAAATAAATAAATGTAAACACCTTTTGTTATTTGGCTTCTCGTTGTTTTATTTTATAAGAATAATACGTCACGTCAAGTACAAGTACGTCAACATATTTAAACAATTTTTTTAATGTCATGGAGTAGAAATGGAGTAGAACTGGAGTATAACTAAATATGAGCTGGTCTTAAACCTCTCGTTTGAATACCTTTTAGTGGTTTTTCAGACACAGTTTTCTATTGTGGTATAACACGGCTTTATAAATTTTTTATGTAATGATGTATCGGACCCAGCGAGTAATGTAACCTTCTTCAAAAAGTAAATAAAGCTGTGAATGGATTCAATAATTGTATGCACAATTATGCTTCTATGCAGTTTGCTTCTAATTTCAATATCGTTAATTATCGGAGTCTAATGTTGCTTTTTATCTTGCTAAGCATTCAAAATTTATTTTGCTTATCGTTTTCTAAGAAAAAAACCTGTATTTCTATTTTTTGTTTTGTTTTGTTTTAATGAGGTTTCTTGCCCAACATTCTTTTGGTGGTATGTTTTGGATATGAATTTTGTGTTTTATTTATGATTCTGTAACTATTATTGCAAACAATTGACAATCGCAGCCGTCCAGTTAGGTAAACATGCAAAAGGTGATACTACGAATAGATCGTAGATAAAATCTTTCACCAAAAGTCTAACATGATATGTAGCTAAAAGAATAGCGAGACAGTAAGAGAAAAAACTTTGTGTCAGAGGATGAAGTGAAAAAACAAAGTAGATTTAAGCCTCAAAGTGTGGCATAAGAGCGTCATTAACGCGATTAAGAGCGTCAATAACGTGACTAGTCACTGCTTTAACAACCTCAAATGTGGTAACGCCTACATGTATGCAAATGAAGTGGTGATAGCTGTATATAGATTGTGCGCTAATTTAAGTCTAAAAAAATAAGGTTGAATTAAGATACAGAAAACCCAAAAATAATTAGTTAGCTTAGTAATATTAAAGACAACTACTGCCCACAGGTGCTATGGTGCGGTGCGTTTGTTTGTTCCTTCATGCTATTTTGGTATGGTTTTATTATATTTACGTTTATTTTTAAATCGACGGAATATTAAGCTAAACGCACCTAATTCTTTCGCTTATGGGCTAGGACATCACAGCCACACGTAAGATATAAAAAATGAATTTAAATTATTAGAATACAAACATTAGCAACCGTATATCAAAAACCTTCAAGTTTGCCAAAAGAGTTGCCAGATTTATAGCTCCGAGCACATAGAGCATATAGCGAGCACTAATCCAATGAACATTGTGGATCTTTCGGAAAAAAGTGCGCTTGAGTGTCCAACGTAGTCAAAAGGTTATAATTCCCATAACCCAGCTAGAGCGCATACATTTGGCCAAGGCATGTAAAACCATCTCGATCTTCAACTTTGATCCAAGATTGTGTTTTTAGCAATTATAGCAATGAAAGGATTATTGCTGATTCCAGCTGCAAACATAAAATAGTAAAATGTTAAAACAATTGCTCGAACCAACTTAAAATTTAAAGTCGTACCAATGTTAGTTTTTTATTGTTGGCGACATCGTGTTTGTAGCCAAAATGATAGATATTTGTAAGATATTTGTGGTAGCTGTGAACTAAATCCAGTGCAGGGCCGTTCATAAGAGATTTTCATAGGGGAATGACGTATTTGTTTTTTGCCGGCTAAAGCCAAATCAAAGAAATCTATAAAGAAAAAAAAAGAAAAGTCCTCATTGCCCAACATTTGCCAACTGCCATATAAATATCCAATTTTCCCGACACGAGAGTCCAACTTGCCGACTAATAAAATTTGTAGTGGGGCTAGACACCCCTATATATCTCCTCAGGACGGCCCTGATTCATTATGATAACCTGATTTCCGTTCTCTCATATTGGTGGACATTTGAAAAATGTTGCAAAGAAAGTAATTTAACTTTAATCATTTGATACTAATATGTTGTTAGTGATAAAAAACAAGAATTAAAAGTTATTATTTATTTTTTTATGCTTGTAAAAAATCATTTTAAGAGTATTTTAAACAATGTTTAAAGTAATGTGTCCGAGTGCAGGTGAATATTTATACTACAGATTTTTAATACAGGTTATTAATTCAGATTCTTACAGAATATAGATAAAACTTTAACAGTGATTAAAACAAAACAATATAACTAAAACATGGAGGAGTTGATGAATGTTAATATAGCAACAACAACAATGTTAACAAAGAAATCTAATGCTAGGTTTTATAAATGTGCTTTTGCCTCGCGTCATCTAATAACCCATCTCCTTTCTCTTAATTCTTTTCTTTTCAATTTGAGTTGGGTCTTCTAATAACTGTTTTACTTTTTTAAACAATGTACGAAAGCTAACTACAAAGTTAAGTCTGTTTAAGCAGCTTAACTTGAACTTTTAAATATATAAAAATGAAGAAAACTTTTTGCAAAAATACTAAATAACTTATTCTCATTTGAATTGCTGATAAAACAGATATTAAAAAAAAATATTTTCGTGTACAAGTAGAGCTTCAGAGAAAAGTTCGTTTGTTGTTGTTGTCTTCTCAATAGAAGAGCCAGTAAGGAAACGTTTTTCTAGGTCTTTCCATTATTGAAATGATACGATGATGGTACGGAATGGAACCTTTATGATTTCAAAGATATTTTATGTATTTAAGATATTTTTACCCCATATTGGCTAAATGATTACGTTATGCTCACAACAAAAATAATAAATCACATCCTAAACTTTTTAACTAGAGACCCGTGCTCCATCAGTCTTGAACATAATTCAGAGCAGTTATGGCGCAGTGGTTAGAGCATTTGCTTCAAAATCAGAAAATCCAAGGATCGGAAAAGGTAAGTAAGAAGGCGTTAACAATCTAGTTAAATGCGATGCAATGTGGTAAGACCGTAAAGTTAGTTGAAACTTTTATAACCACACAAAAAAATAAATAAACATGACAATATTTAATAATATTTATTTATTTTATATATATATATATATATATATATATATATATATATATATATATATATATATATATATATATATATATATATATATATATATATATATATATATATATATATATATATATATATATATATATATCTATGTTATATATAAAATTGAAAATACATCATATACGGTGACATACTATTTATTTAACTATTAAATTTTTTTAATTTTAAATGTGATATTTCGGCTCATATAGTTGGAGCCATTTTCAAACTAATACGTAACAAATAAAATTCGTTATTTACAAAAATGATGCCATTGCTGCTTAATATTATAAAAGTTTTTCTTAAATTTAACAAAAAATGGTTTCTAGTGGTGAGTCGTCACTAGGTTGTCATTATCTAGATTTAGAATTTTATTTTTAGATAGCAAAATTGCAATCTGTCTATTTCAATTGCCTCCCTGATTTTTCTCGTATAATTATTTGGGATGACTGAAAGTGTTTTTAGATTATTCCAATTAATTATACCTTTGCAATGTTGTGCATGTTCGACAATTCCAGACGCTTTCCAGTTCGCTTTAGTCACGTTTTTTTGATGTTCAGCTATTCGTGTTTTTATCTTTTTTCTGGTTTCACCCACATTAAAAGCACCACATGTACATTCAAGTTGGTAAACACCCGGGTAACTGTTTGGTGGTATCTTTGATTTGTTTTGGCATAATATGTTCGATAAAGATCTTCCGAAACGAAAAACTGTTTTTATGCCAACTTTTCGAAACGCGCGTCTAAGAATAAGGCTTAATTTAGGAACCCACGGAAGTATTTTTATATTAAATGTGTTAAATTGTTGGCGGCTTTTTGTTTGGGATGGTTTGTAATGTTTTACAATGTCTAGAAGTTGTTGCTGAGAATATCCATTTTCTATAAAAATATTAATTAGGAACTCAAATTCTTTTTCTATATAATCACTAGTGCATAAATTATAAGCTCTTACAAGAAAACCTTCAAATATTCCTATTGCAATATATGGTGATATATACGAGACTGCGGTTTTACAAGTACATTCGTTATTGGATTCTTGCGGTATATAGAAAAGTTATATTTATGAGTTATATGATTAGTTGAAATGCAGATGTCTAAGAAATTAAGTTGATCTTGATCATTTTGGTATTCGCATGTGTATTGAATAGCTTTGTCTTGAGAGTTTAAAAGTGTCAAAAACGATTCTGCATTACCAGAGTTAGAAAAACGTGCATGGCAGTCATCAACATATCGTTTAAATGTTATTGGTGCAATATTAATGGTTAATGCTTGTTGAACTGCATTATATTCAATATGTTGTAAGTAAGCTTCTGAAATTACTACCATTATGGATAATCCAATCGGACCAGAGTTTTTTAAGATATAAATCTTGTTATCCCACAAAAAATAGCATTTACTTAAACAAAGTTCAATTAATTTATGGATGTCAGTTAAAAATAATTTAGTGCGCAGCTGAAGATCATTTTATTTTAAATATCACATTTAAAATTAAAAATATTTTAATAGTTAAATAAATAGTACGTCACCGTATATGATGTATATTCAATTATATATATATATATATATATATATATATATATATATATATATATATATATATATATATATATATATATATATATATATATATATATATATATATATATATATATATATATATATATATATATATATATATATATATATATACATATATATGTATATATATATATATATATATATACATATATATGTATATACATATTGCTCAATAGAATTAGTGCTTAAAAGTTTAGAAATTATAGTTGATTATATGCTGTGTTACTTACGGGACGCAAAAAAACATTGCATTAAACCTATTGTTTAATGCAATAACAAAAAAAGTTATAAACAATACGGCGGATGCTCTAACTCCCCTCTCTATTTAATTTCTTCACTGGCCATTAATTTGGTTATTATTTTTTAAGCATTACCGTCGTTTTCCCGTTTATTCAAGCATAAAAGTTTATTTTATCGTTATGGAATAAAGTTTTTTATTCAACACTTATTAAGATCTTTTAAACATTTTATTTAACAATCATAGGGTCATTTAAAAAAATATTATAATTATATTTGCTCTCAACGTTAAAACCAAAAGTAGTTAATTGAATTACATTATATTATTCATATTTAAATACTATGCAGGGGCTGTTCTAAACCGTTTTCGACAAAGTCGGCTGTATTTGGGCGCCGCACAGTGGGTCAGATATCGAAAAAGCTGGTCAAAATAAGAAAACGTTGAATGATTTGCCTGAAATTTCATGGCAAATATTTTTTGAAGTTACTGATTAAAATTTTGCTTAAAAAAAAAGAAAAACAAAATGGCAGATCCAATATGGCGGATATATATGTTAAAAAATTGTTTAAGTTGTTCTTAAATAGGTTTTAAAGGTTCTTTCAGGCCACAAATTAAAAATTTGACAAAAAAAAAGTTTAAAAAAATTAAAAAAAAAATGGTGGATCCAATGTGTCCGTAAGTGCTAAAAAATGGGTCAAATGATGGAAGATAGTGTTAAATATAGAAAAAACATTTTGTTTCAGTTATAATCATTTTGGTTCTTTTTCATCTTGATCTGTCTCTTTGTTGAAATCTTTATTATATTCAAAGTTTGTTTCATCGAAATCTGCGTCAGAGTCTTCATAACCTTCTGTTACAGGAACCAAGAGGGCAACAGCCTTTGGCAACAAAGTCTTCAATTTTTTTAGTGTTGATTTTCGCAGAGATGAAATGTTGGCATGTTGTACCAGGGATATTCTTTGATATAGTGTCTTGCAGTTGCTAAGACGTAACCTCGAAACTTTTCAACGTCAATTTCATGTCCACTCAAAATTGTTTGCAAAATTATATGAAAACGGTGGATTAATTCTTCGGAAACACCAGTTATCAAGGATGACGTTTGAGTGTTTTCAAAGAAACGTCGAGCGGTGTTTCCGTCGTTCGTGCTGCCCCACCCTTGCTTTGGCATGTCGACTAAAATTCCTAGTTGCTGTTTGAAAGTTTTTTGAATGCTAGCTTTCATTGTTGCTTTTTCCTGCTTATCTTCTTTTTTACGCGCTTGCCATTTTTTCGTATTTTTTTTGTATCCCAAATGAATACAGCATTCAAAACATCGAATCCAGGCGTGTAGAGTTGACAGTCCGTACTGTAGATAATCAGTGGTTACCGGTCTTTGCAAAACTTCATCAATGTTATTAAATTGCTTGGAAGTTGCCTGGCAGAGATAACACCGTTGCGCAGATTTTATGTTGGTGATAGCATTGCATACTTTACCATCTAACATGGTCATACTTAAACTGTATTGAATAAAAACATTTTTCGTATGAATGGTTGTTTTTAATGGTTGGAGTTGTTCAATCTGTTTGTCAAAATGCGTTTTCTCATTTATAAAAGTTTCCTCAGTTTCCATTGTAAATTGCAATTCTAGAGGTCTACAAAAGAGGGTTGAAGATGGCTTTGGATTACTCCATAAGAGATTTTCTTTTTTTGTTTCTTGATTTACACCTACAAGTTGCAATGGAACAAGCAAAGTAAAAAGTAAACTTGCATCTGATATATTCGGATCTTCAAAAGTCATTTTATAAATGCTTTTTCCGGATGTTCCGTCAAAGCCCCACTTACAAATCAAAGTCATATTCAATATTTCTGAATCACTCTTATATGTAATATTGTCTTGGCTCAGCAGTAAAATACGTTGAACAGTGTGGTCTAATAAAGCTTGCAACTGTACCTCAGCTTTTGATTCGGTAAAATTTAAGGTGTCGTCTGGAGGGTAGCAACATTTTTTTGCTGCCAATACAGCCGAGTATGGTGGATAAAATGTATTTAAGCCTTTTTTTTTGCCTAATTTCTCAAATGCTGGTACAAATCTTTCGTCAAACTTAGGTCTAATAAAAGTGCTAGAGCTTCATTTGCATCATAAAAGCAATGATAATGATAGTTGCAATGATAATGATAGTTGCAATGATAATGATAGTTGCAAACTGGCAATGATAATGATAGTTGCAAACTTTCCTTGTATTTTGTTTCCTTGAATGGACTTGACAGTGTAACGTCATTCACAATCTTAGCAGCGTCTGATTGCCCTGAAGATCGAAGACTCATTTGCGTAGCAAATGATAGTTCGGCAGGACTGAACTTCATACGCATCTCTTTAGTCCTCCTTCTTTTAGACCTATCAGATAAAGTTTCGAAACTTCTGGTGGGTCGACCCGTTAATTTATTTACAATTGCACGTTTTGCATCAATCTAAAAATATACGTTTTTAACCATTTTTTAACCAGTTTTCGTTCTTTTTGAAAAAGTAATCTTGTCGTTGAGCTGCTTCCTTATATTTCTTTCTAAATTTTGTCATTAAAACAGAAATAGTAGGTCTCATGTTGTCGCGAATTGAAATATCCAATCTTTTCAGTCAATGATTTTTCCAAATGTTCTATGATCACTTGCAAATCGTTTGAAAAATATTCTTTTGTTATAATAAAGACCTCTTTCCTCGAAATTCCATATACGGCAACCGGTGGATCTGATAAACCTAAATTTAAAAAATCTATGTATACTTATTTAAAATGTATTTACTCAATATTTAGTTAAGTTTTTAACTTTTTATTTTAATAAAATATATAATTGTATTTATACCATCATTTAAATGAATTCCATCCATTTCCAAATCGTTTGCTTTGTAATAAGTCCGTAAACTCGAAAGTCCGTAAACAGCGACCAAACTAAATTATTTATTTTGATATTCTAATTTTAATAAAAATGTATAATGTATTATCCAGTAATATAAATGAATTCTATCCATAGTGTAAAAAGATAATAACTTAAAGATTTAAATTACTGTATAAATTAGATACAAATTACTGTATTGATACATTTATAATTACTGTATAGATAAATATAAATTACTATATAAATACTTTCAATACAATACAAATACAACTTTTATTTTAGTTATAAATTTAAGTATTATTTATGTATTTATTTATTAACTCATTTATTAAATACTTAAATGCGCTAAAAAAACATATGTACAATGTTTGTATTCATATTTAACTTTTTCTAAATTTAGTTAAGAAGTTAATAACTTTTTTAATAAAAAATATTTTTTAATATTAATAATGTCATTAAAAAAATAACCAATTATTCAGTTTATAATATCAAACAAGAAAAAAAAAAAGGGGAATGAAATCATATCTTGAAGATTGGAAAATGGTAACTACTGTGTGGCGGTGTGAGTAGCGATGAATGTACTTTTCTAAGTTATTCATCTCACTGTGTAGGAGAAAGCGTTGTTCCCGTCCTTTTCTACTTTTAATCTTCTTTATAAAACATAGCTTAAAAGTAGAGTTGGTACTAGTAGGTGAGTTTGAATGTTAAATTACAAAAAAAAAAAAAAAATACTGCATACGTACAAACACAATACAAATGAAAGTGGAATATCGTGGAATTCGTAACTTATCTCTTATTATATTTTTAAAGCAAATTTTACAATTTTATAAAATATTTTTCTGTATTAAGTTAATTTAAAAAAAAACCTTTATAATTAATGACTTAATAATAATATTTTTCTTTTTTAATTAGTACATACCTTGTGAAACGAATTCCATATTGAAAATATTTGTTTCACGTGCACACAACAAAAATATTTATTTTTGAAAAAAAGATGATTTTTTAGCTTTAACGTACGCAAGTACGATATACAAAGGACTGCCGCGTTCGATCTGCAATATAGCGCACGAAATGAACAGCTGATCTTCTGGATACCCGGCATTAAGTAGTCCCAACATCATTGAAGCCAACCTGATAGTCCAAAAGTACTGCATCGAAAATTTTATTATCTCCTTTTTGACCAGCTTTCTAAGATCTGACCCACTGTGCGCCGCCCAAATTAAAGTTTGGGACTTGTTTTTTTACATTTTTTACGGCAAATATTGTTTTTTTTTCGCGAAAAAACGCCGATTTTCGCCGAAAAAAAGGGGAGGGGGGCAAGGGACCGCCGCCTAAGTTTTTTTCCTGGGATAAGCGCTGCTATGACTATGATTACACTAAAAAGTTAAAATTCTTGTATATATTATGCGGCAAATCCTGTGATTATATTTTTAATATTAAAAAAGGGAGCACGTGTTAAGAAAAAACATTAATGCATTATTATTTTAACCAGGTTGACATTTTAACATAATTACATTATTAGTTTAACCAGGTTGTGTTTATTAAATTCATTAAAGCAGTGGATAATTGTTGTCAAATTATCAAACCAGCTATAAATTATATCACTAATTAATAATATATTACTAATATTATTAGTAATATAGCTGGGTTTATAACAATAATTAGCATGTAGTAGCAGGCATTTATGATTAACAGTGATAAATTATATCATCAATTACAAGTAAGTACATAATAGGGGTAACTAAATATTAACAACTGGTTAATGTTTAGTTATTCGATTATTTAAAGAGAATAAAGGCTTATGAAAAATTATTACTATCCTTTTTAATGGCGTTTTGTTTGTTTATACAGTTTTTTTTATCTAATATCTTAGTCATACAAATCAAATTATTGAAGAAAACTATAATTATTTTTTTATTTTTTGCTTTGCTTTTTAGCCATGTGTCATGCATGGCCCTTATGACCATACATGATGTATGGCTACGGTATTTATAATATTTTAGTGTTATAAGTATTATATCTTTATGTGGATTATATATGGTTATCACCTAAGTGTTATAAATATTATAGCCACACCTTGCTCACATTTATGCTATCCCATAAACAAGTGTGGCTATCATTTTTTTTAAAGCGCTGTGTAGCCTTATATTGCAAATAATACCTTTATTAAAAAACCAGGAAAAGTATTTGAATTTTCTTTGCATTTGTAACCATTTAGTATATATTTTTTAGTGTAACCATTTTTTGCAATGCATCCTCATTTAACAATGTTCCTCATTTAACATATTGTTGTTGTTATGTTTTTTAAACAAAAAATATATTTTGAATTAGTCTTTCGATAAAAAGTTTTAAATTATTGGAATAGTTTTAGTGGAAAATAGTTCTCCAAGTAAAAAAAAAAAAATGATCACACAAGTTAAACTTAAGTTAAAAACTGATTAAATTAGTTGAATAATTTTTTAAAATCATTTAATGATTAAATATGTTTTTAATGGAGTTGCAAATAGGGTTGCCAGATGTCTGGTTTATGCGAAGGTGAACACAGTAAAAAAATTTATTTATACAGGCTTGGCGCTGTAATCTCCTTGTTTAAAGCAAGATGTCTGGCAATATCCAAACAAGGGAATCAATAAAAGTACTATTCTTTTAAATTGTTTTTGAAATAAAAGTTAATAAAATTAATTCTTTATTAATTGATCTTTTGTTTCTAAACATTAAAAAAAGCTTTAAACTATAAAGAAAGAAACTGGAAACTGGAAACAAATTATATTTAAAGTTGTTTTAAATAATAAAGTATAGAAAAATTTATTGAAAAGTTAGTTAAATTTTTTTTTGTTATTCTCTGATCTTTGAGTTTCTGGCTTAATTTTATAATTGGTTCTGGACCTTGTATCTAGCTTTTGCACAAGATCAAAATATTTAGGACTCAGAATTTGAGAAACGAAATTAAGACTTGAATTGAATGAACTTGAGTTGATCTAAACTAAATGTGCATCATAGATCAAGTTCATTTAATTTTTCTGAAATAATTAAATATTTACATTTATTTAACCATTATAAAACAAGATGGTAGAGCCAAATTTACATATTTTAATTACCAATGAAAAAATTAATTCCTGATACAGAGTAGGATTGTACCACATATATGAAATTAAAAGTTGCAGTACCATTTAAAATTAATTTTTAGTTATTTTTAAAATTTATTGTTCAGAATTTTTTTATTATTTTTTTTTAATACTTAATTTAACAATATCTATACAAAATTTTCAAATTTAAATGTTAACTTGAATTCGTGATTTTTAATACAAGTTTTTTAGCCTAAATTTTATACTTATTAAGTGAAAGTTTTTTTCTTTAATATCTATATATATTTTTTTATGTATTTTAATTTATATAATATTTTTATAATTGTATAATATTTTTATAATGTATATTTAAGTTATATGATGATAATTATGGTATGATGAACCCTGATGAACAGAAGTTAAAGAAACTTAAAGATGAGTTTCTTCACATGCTAGGAGAAGAAGCGAAATACAACTGCATTGAATTCAGAAATCAAATGTGCAAGTGCTTAAAAGAAGGTTGGTTCGGAATGTGTACAAAAGAAAGACATGATTATAGACAATGTTTACAAAAAGCTTTTAAAAAGTTAGAAGACCAAGAAGAAAACAAGAAGTTACTTAGTTTTAAAATAAATGCTTAAAAAGTATAATATGAAAAATAAAAGCTTAATAATATAAAAACTTTTATGTATCGCATTTAAGCGTATTTAAATTGGCTTAAATTAAACTAAACTTTCTGGGACTTACAATAGAGGTTGTTAGGTACTAAAATAGAAATTAGTTATGTTTCTGTAAACCTTTCTTTAATTCAAAAATCTTTTCCATGGATTTCTCTGTCTCTTTTGGACCAGACCAAAACCTTTATTCACCCCTGTCTTGTCTTTAATAGTCAAGAACGTTTCCTCAACTTTTTTTTCAAAACAAGTCAATTTAAATCAAATAAATTTATATTCTGTTCTTTCTCGTTAAGATAGTACCAGCCCAAATTCCAAGTCCTCAGCTGTATATATATACATATAATAGGCCAAATGAGAAATTTTAACATTGAATTTATTCTCGAATCAAGTAACTTATATATTCTCAAATAAAATTAAATCTTGAATTTTAAAAAAGTTAGTTTTTTTCCTATTTTTAATACTTATAAGAATTTTTAAAAAGCAGATGTCAGATACTTTAATGTTTTTGGTTGGAGATTTAGGGTAACTGTTAATTAAAAAACCTTAATTTATAACTTAGTGCAGTATAATATTCATTGTCATCGCAAAATAGTTTGTGATGACTATCAATATATATATTATGGTCTACTATAGTAAAACACTAAGTAAACATGTAATATTAAAAAAAACTGTAGGCGAGTTTTTTTATATAAATTTCAAATTAATAATTTGTAATATGGCACAACCAGAAAAAGAATGTGGTCTTTAAATTTAATATGTGTTGAGTTTTAGTTTTATGTATATTAAGTTTGCTTTCTCTTCAGAGCTAATTGACTAAATTTAAAGATTATGGTTTAGTGTTTTGTCACTGAATGCAGAGGTAACTACAATGTTACAAAGTCTGTGAAACTTTTTTGCCTTGCAAATAAATAAAAAAATGAATGGAAAAGATAGAGATAATATTTCAAATAGCCCAATACTTTTATCTGTGAAGATCAATGGCCTAAAGATAATAAAAATTTTAGTTTACAGAAAGTAAAGACCAAAACATCCACCATGTATTATTTCTTGTGTAAATCCAAGTCAAATTCAGACTCCACATGCACCACTAAGGCTATCTACTAAATCATTGCCATGTTTTAGAAGTATCGTCCAATGAAATAAAAGCTTTTGTGAGGGTGGACAATATTTCTCCTACAGAGATTTGTGTAATAAAATAATATAAAACTATAACTTTTTCCTTTACAATAATATCAAGTATCTGTGAAATCTGTTTACATCTTTAATCTGCTGATATATTGGACATCTTGGGTGTTCCAAAGTTTATTTTGAAATTAAAAAATGATTTATCCTTCAATAACTATCACTGTGGTATTAAGTGCACCTTAAAACCTTTTTCTTACAATCATTTGTATATTTTTTGACTGTATTAGTTGTCTCCATGCTGCAATACACTATCTGAATTCTTTACCAAATGATCATAAGAAAATTTTTAGAAATGAGCAATTGTATGAATTCCTAAATGTATATGAATCAAATATGAGTTAAATATGAATTCCTTAATTGGTGAATTTTAGGTCGAACATTTTTACTAGTAAACCTATTGAGAAAGCATTTGGAAAACTTAATCAAGGATCTGTTGATATCTGTTTTACAAATGCTCAGAAAATATCACAAAAAATTGACATTCAAAAAACAAAACTTTGTTTTAATATTAACTTAGTTGCTAATGATTTAGAAATTTTATAAATCCTTTTGTGTGACATGTAATTATGTAATGTAAGAAGATATTTTGTTCAATGTATTTCATAATCTTCATTTATTGAAAGAAAATTGTCTAAGAAAAATAAAAGATCTTTGGTTTACATTGCTGTTTATGTCAATAGAGAAGATTTTACAGTTGAAGGCACATACTTTGTTTTGACTGATTTGGAGAATATGTCAGAGAGATTACCCGTGGTGGTTTAAATTTGATTGGAAATAATATCTGCAATTAGATATTTTAATTATTTTGCGAGTCGTGTTATTTATCAAACTGTTTTTTGATGGTATCTGATGAATTTACCAATATTTCAAAAAACATTATAGAATCTTTGCCAAAATATTTTTGGATAAATGTTGCCAACTTTATTCCCTGCAATCTCAAAGGAAACCAAAATGAAAATTTTGAATCTTTTTTAAATGTGGAATATATACATATATGTATATATATATATATATATATATATATATATATATATATATATATATATATATATATATATATATATATATATATATATATATACATATATATATATATATATATATATATATATATATATATATATATATATATATATATATATATATATATATATATATATATATATATATATATATATATATATATATATATATATATATAATATATATATATATATATATACACATATTATATGTGTATATATTTATATATATATATACATATATATGATATATATATATATATATATATATATATATATATATATATATATATATATATATATATATATATATATATATATATATATATATATATATATGTATATATATATATTTATGTACAGCGCTCGAAATAACTGCCGATCAATGATCGGCTATTTTTAAGGAAATTTTGAAAAAATCAAGGGAAAATAACCTGTTTTTGTGAAAAAGTTACATTTAATTGGCAAGCTTTGAAAAACTATTTCGAGCGCTGTATGTATATATATATGCATATATGTATATATATACATATATATATATATATATATATATATATAATATATATATATATATATATATATATATATACATATATATATATATATATATATATATATATATATATATATATATATATATATATATATATATATATATTTATATACATATATTAATATATATACAAATATACATATATATATATATATATTATATATATATGCATATATATATGTATATTTATATACATATACTTATGTGTGTGAGTGTGCATTTATATGTATATATGTATGTGTATATATATGTATATATACATATATATATACATTTATATATATACATATATATATATATATATATATATATATATATATATATATATATATATATATATATATATATATATATATATGCATATATGTATATATATACATATATATGTATATATATACATATATATGTATATATATGCAGATATATACATTTATATATGGATATAAATGTATAGTTTTTAGCATATATATATATATATATATATATATATATATTGAATATATATATATATATATATATATATATATATATATATATATATATATATATATATATATATATATATATATGCATATAAATATACATATATATATATATATGTATATTTATATGCATATATATATATATATATATATATATATATATATATATTAAAATAATTTAAAATTTATACAGGATAACAGCAACAATTTGTATAAAATAGCATTAGTTGATATTTAGGTTTAAAATGAATTCAATAATGCAAGTCTTGTTTAAAAGAGCTTGCATTCATCTTATTCAGTTGTCACATATACGAGTGCAGTCATCACTACAGGGAAAGAAATATTTAACATCAGTACATCTAGAAGATATTGTTGAGTCACTAAGTTCTGAAACATCTGCAGGGTTTCAGCAAAAACTAATTGATTTAGATAACCATAATAAGTATTGGCCATTTGAACTAACTGGACAAAAATCATTAGCATCATTGGTGCATAAATTATACTGTGAGAATCGCCATAGTGATATATCGTTAATCTCAGGAAAATTAAATTCCATAAATTACGATATTTGGGGTGGTTTGGCAACCACAATTTTATATTCAGCCATTGATCAAAAGAAATGGAAAGAGACTTTTTTGTTGTTTGAGGTATGTTTAATTATTAGCAAATCTTATTCTGTTTAAATTTTGAAAGGTAAGTAAATTAATGATAAAGTAATGGAAAATAAGTCAATATAATATTAACATTTTTTTATTAATTAGGGTTTTAAAGATATGTGGATTTTTTTTTAGGTCAAAAAAATCAATATTAAATAAATGTTTTTAAAAAATAAATTATTTAAATAAAAATTGTTTAAACAAAAAAAAAAAAAAAAAAAAAAAAAATTCCAAGTATAAATTGATACATAAATTTATGATTTTCGGCCATATTTAACATCATTATTTTAATGTCTGTATTTTTACATGTTGACAAGTATATAAAATATTTTAATTTTTTTAACCAAAGTTATTCTTTTTTTAAACTTTTCCTCTTGCATGTCAATTGTCACTCTAAAATAAACAAAATTTTTCCTTTGTGATATTTCAACTTGTTTTTCTGCAGATTGTCCTTAGACATAAAATATAATTACAAAAAAAAAAAAAAAAGAAAGTCATTAAAATTACTACATAAAATCATCAAGCATGTCATTAAAAAGGAGCAATAAATGGTTATATTAAAACATAAATTAGCAATTATTGCTGTTAGTTTGGTTATTTATTTAAATATCTAGAAGAGAAAAAAAAATTTCCAACAAAAATGAAAATAATATAGAATAATTTTAATTGGAGAGTTCTAATTATGATGATATGCATTGAACATCAAAGAAATGATGATGATATGCATTGAACATCAAAGAAACTGATGAAAGGTAAGTGGGATGCACCCAAAAATAGGGTCGCCATATGGTAATCATTGAAAAAAAAATGATATTATAGAATGTGTTGTAAATGAAAAGGGAGTCCCGATTTTTTAGTGAGGTAATATCAGAGTAGGCCTCTTTTATGAAAACTAAATAAATAAAATACCTTTTTTTAAAATGCCATTTGTTTGTTTTTTAACATAAATTGCTGGTTTTGCGGTTAAAATTAATATAATTTTAATGGCATTCACATTCAATCTTATTGCAGTCTCACAATTATTTAACAAGATATATCTCAATAATTCATAAAATTCTTATTTAATAAGAATTTTATGAATATTTGAGATGAATTAAGTCTTTTAAAATGGTATATTTTAATATAGAATAAATTTTTAGAAAATTTTAAATTTAAAATAATTTTGAAAAATTTTAAATATTTTTTTAGTGTTTTTCTTCACATGTTCCTCACCTCTTCTTTGTGACTTTTTAAAAACTTATCAAAGTTAGAAAATTGGCCATGGCACATTGATTCATTAACATAAAAAGGGGCTTTTTTATTTACATATAAAATTGAGTCTTCAACTTGATCCCAAATAGGAATACTGTCTAGTTTTATCCAACTGAAAGTTTTTAACTCTAAGTATTGGAAATAATATCATGTCAAAGGTCGCTTTTACTTGTTAGACTTTAAATTGAGTTTTTATAATAAATGATTATATAAAAATATAAGTATATATGTTGGTTCGGATCAAAATGGTAGATAAGTTAGTTTGAATGAAAATCGTAATTTTTATAAGTATTTATGTTTTTATGGTTGTAAGTTTTAAATTCTATCCCCTATGTAATAAAGTCTTGTCTACTCGGTGTAGTTAAGGCGATTTACAAAATATTTGAATACTTTTATTTGGAATTAGCATGGTTTTGTCAGCATATTATGCCCAAACAAGATCTTTAAATGTTATAATTTTTTTTGCTTAAGGTTTTTATAATATTTAAAGAAACTTTTTTTTTTTTTAATATTATTTTCAAAATCTTTTTACTACCCGTAATAATGTATCTGAAGAACACTATTTTGGAGTCTTTAGATCAATTCCGCATTAACATGAAATTAGTTAAAATCTTTTAAAAAAGTTTCTAAATAGACGTCTTCACAATTCCGATAATTTCATGCGCGCGCATATTTAATATTACTCATGGTACTTTATGCGCAGAATCGCATGAAAACAAGTAAATACTCATATAAATTAAGATAGTAACCTTGAAAGAAACTGTTGTTTACTTGAGATTTTTATTTATTTTTTTTTAAAAAAGACATTGATTTAGTTTAATATAAGTTTATTTTGCACGTTTTAACTTTTAAATCTATACTGTTTATATGTTTTTGTTATGTAATATTTGTAATCAAGGAACAAAAAAAATTTGCACGTTGAGTGTAATATTGATTAACAAAAATGAGCTTTTGGGAAAGAAGATTGTTAAAAAGTAATTTATAAATATATATATATATATATATATATATATATATATATATATATATATATATATATATATATATATATATATAAAATAAATATACACACTAACACACACAAACACAACTATCAATGCACATTTCACACTTAAAATATGTGAAATGCAAAAGATAAAGAGTATTCTTTAAGAGCTTTTATTTCTTTCATATATATCCTATAAAACAAACATATAAAAAGTATAAATATATAAATAATATAAATTTAACCTTAAAATAGTTAAAATAAAGTTAAATAATTCAAAATTGATACTTTTATTATGAATAAAAGTAAAGAAATCTCATGTAAACAACTGTTTCTTTCAAGAATGCTTTCGTAATATATTTGTGTATTTACTTTCTTTCATGCGATTCTGCGCACAAGGGGGTCATCCATAAAGAACGTCACCATTTTTTAGCCAATTTTTGACCCCCTCCCCCCTTTGTCACCGGTTGTCCTTTTTCCCTATACCTCCCTTAAAAAGGACGTCATAAAATCCTGAATCCCCCCCCCCCCTATTTTTAACTCCAAAAAAATTTATTTCATCTTGCAATGAATTTTGAATCTGCTGCTACATCTTTGAAAAATAAAATTAAAAATATTCTCATACATTATCTTCTTAAAAACACATGTTTACGTAATTTTTCATGTTAATTAAACTAAAATAAAAAATCTATTAAGTGACGTCCTTTTCTGACAACCTCCATTTTGTTCTTTTTTGTACTTTTTAACTCGACCCCTCTCCCCCTATTTGGATGACGTCCTTTATGGATGGCCCCAAGGAGCAATGACGTACTGTTAAATGTTCGCGCGCACTAAATTATCGGAACTGTGAGAAGGTCTATTTACTACTGATCCTAGTTCTAATCGGTTCTGACGTATATTAACTATATATAGTTGTCAAAACACAATATTTCTATCAATTGTCACAAAAAATGCTAGAATTCCGACTAAGAAAGAGCTTATAATTATGGAAAATTACTAATAAACGATCAGAACAGATCATATGTTAAACTATAATGTTCATTTCACCTAAAAAACGTATTAATATAAAATCTTTAAATTTGGACGAGCGATTGTGATTTTAAGATGATTTAAAAAAAAAGAAAAGATTCCACGGTCTGGGTTTTTTCGCTACAAACATTTATATTTTATGATACCGCAAAATTTATTATTTCTTTTCATAATTCACAGACCAGACCATTTAACGGAACTATGTCGTAGTCAACAAAATATCATACAGACACTATAATATTTTAAAAGTGCCTTAACTAAACCGAGTACAAGCTGAATTCAATGGCAATATTCTTTGATAATAAAGAAAGTTTTTCTAGTTTTAATATCAGGAGCATTTATTTTATATTTGAAAGTTGCTGACAATCATTCTACAAATGTATATGGATATCGGCTATTAATTTAAAAACTGAAGAATATCATCTTACCATATTCAAAGAAAATATAATTTATGTATTTTAGTGTTCTTCTTAATTCTAAGCAATTTATACTCCTTGCTTTCCAATCTAATTTTTCTATTGATTATATTTCAGCCGGTGCTGGTTAAATTTATTGGTATCTTTTCCATAAAATTTCTGCGAATGAAGAAAAAACTTAAAATTTATTGACAATATTTAAAATCTCAATCTAGATAAAATAACATTTTTTTTTTCAAAATATTAATTACAAGAAGTTAAAAGCTATTATTTGTAGTTTTTTTTTATTCAGTGCTCTAACTATCTTGATATTTTCCCATAAAATATTGCATGTAACATCTTTTAACATGCAGAATAAAGTTACATCAGATTCCTTAAGATGTTGAGAGAATGTTCTAGAATAAAAGATATAGTATATTTAAAATAAAAATCTCCGAATTTTGTAATTCGTTTTGCAATGATACATGTTCATACTATTTTTTGATTTTTAACTGTATTTCTTTTAATTTTATTTTTTGTTTTTTTTTTCATATTTTTTTAATTAAGTGAGTTATAATTGTGTGTATAATATGGTTTGTTTATATAATTGTTATATAGTTATTATTATATTACAATATAATTATATTTAATTAATTTTTGTATAGGTATTTTAATTAGTTAATAATATTTTATATTTTTATTGGCTCAAATTGCTTAACCAATCAATGAAGGTATCCGTCCATATATATATATATATATATATATATATATATATATATATATATATATATATATATATATATATATATATATATATATATATATATGTATTTATTCCATAGAGTATGAGAGACAAAGGTCAGCTGAAGCATGTGCGGTTGTACAAACGTCTTATTGTGGAACTAGTTGAAGACGATAAAGTTAGTGATGCGCTGAAATATTTCAATGAACTATCAGGTTTGGAGTCTCATCTAACAAGGCTTAAATCATCTGATGTGCTAATGTTGATTTCTATGATAAAAGCAGCGTTCCGTAACAAAACTCAAATTTCAGTTTTACTTATTGAGAGTCTGTTGGTATATTTGGAAACTAAAGATGGCAGGCTTTTATATGGAGTTATTTTAGAACTGTTGCAATATTTTAGAAGCAGCGTAAACCATTTAGTAAAACAGGCAGAATTTAGCAACAATACTTGTTTAAACTGCTCTTGTAAGTTAGTTGATAAACCAAATTATGAAGTTGTTTGCAATACGATTATAAATTCTATTGAAAGAACAAACGATTTAGATTTAATTGATGAAATGATTGAAACTAAAAATGGTTTTCATATCATTATAGACAGTGGTAATGTTCTTTTTCACGGTAAAGGGAAAATACAGCGTATTCTTTCCAACAGCAGTTTAAAACATATTTTGCTAGATGTTAAAAAGAAATTCGATAAAGTTGACATTCTGCTTGTTTTTCCTACAAATTATTCAGGTTATGATGACTTAAGCTACTTTCAAGAACTATCTAGCAAAGTGAGCTGTTTTGTGCCTAAAATTACTCATGACGATCAGCTAATTTTGTATGCGGCAGCCAAAAGCGAATTAAAAAAAAAATTAGTTTGTATGGTTTCAAATGATAACTTTACAGACCATACGTATCTTGCTGCGAGTTTTATAAACAACTGGATTCGATTTTTACATGACAAATTAAACCCCTTTAATTTAAATGGTTCATTAGAAGATAAAACATTGATGCCGCCTGTTATTTTAAGTAATACAAATATTCATTTATTTGATGGTTCAAGCTTATGGTGTATAAATAAATAAAGTTTTATTTTTAATTTTAAATTAAAAACTTTCTTTTATTAATATTATTATTGTTATTATTGCTATTATTATTATTATTATTATTATTATTATTATTATTGTTATTATTATTATTATTATTATTATTAAAATCATCAAGGTTATTTCGCATTTGCCATATTCATTTTTTCATGTTTTGAGAAAAATTAAAAAAAGCTGCAAAAAACTTCGCTATTTCGTCTTTATTAGAACAATAAAACAAATTAAATAATAGTTAAACAAATTAAATAATAGTTAACAAATTAAATAATAATAAATTAATTTAATAGAACAATAAAACAAATTAAAAAAACTTTCTTCTGATTGGATTAATATATAGGCGATTTTATCATATTATACAATACTGTTAAACCAGGAATAGTCAACCTTTTCATACATACCGCCCACTTATGTTTTAACAATCTATAAAAGAGAGTTACAGAAGACTATAACATACTAATACAAAATATTAGTACACCAGAAAAATATGTATAAAACTTGCTGCATCATAACAAAGTTCCTTATTTAGACAGTATCACACGTCCTTTACTTGAAAACTTATGATATAAAATATATTTCTATATTAATTTGTTAATACTAAGTATTGAATAAAGTTACTGTTTAATTACAATATAATTTATATTTTTAAAACTTGAATGTAATTGCATGTAACTAAACAATGGAGTATTTTAAAAATAATTTATTCTGGGTTTAAAAATTATCTGTCAAACTAAAACAATGCATAGTATATACTCTCGAGTCCCTAATAAAAGGGGTAGGGGGAGACGTTTATTAATTTTTGGAAACTTTTCCCAGCTTATTAAGACCCCCTTCCCCCTCGTTTATTAAATTTCACTTGTTTAGAGAAAAAAATCAGTGAAAATCGGCCTTATAAGTTAGTTAGAAATTAATTATTTCAGTTACAAATAAAAATTAAATTCTTCAATAAACAGGCTTTAAAAATCACCAACCAAATAAATTTCAATTATTTATAACTTGTGGTGTTGCCGAGATCAATTTTAGGACCATACTGTGTATTTGTACTGTGTATAAATGATTTATATTTAGCATCCAAAACTTTGAATACTATTTTTATTTTTTTATTTAGGTGTCCTTACCACGGTCGTTTAGATGTGGAAAGTTATTATACGCAAGCGCAGTGTCATATTCAAATATTATAATTTTAAAGATGGTGACGGCCTTTAGATACCAAAATTTTTTCTAAGTAGCAACAATATTTTTAAAGTTTTACTTAAGTTATTATTTGCATATTTTTGATAGAATGAAATAATAATAAAGATAATTGAATTGTTGATTCAAAAATGATAAAAACAATATAAAGATGTTTAAATATATAAAAAACTGTGATTCTCTGCTACATTTATCTGACTGTTAAAAGCGTGATTTGTTTACATTTTCAAAACTGCTTTTCTAAAAATCTGAGCGATACAATTTAATAATTTTTACTTTTTTATTTTCGAATAGTCTTATCTTGATTTGAAATTGTTTTCAGATCTGAGTATTCAATTTTTTTCTGAACAAAAATAGAATTCACCCAACACTACTTTTGTAGATGTATGATACATTTAATATTAAGGTATATAGCTAATATATATATATATATATATATACTATATATATATATATATATATATATATATATATATATATATATATATATATATATATATATATATATATATATATACATATCATATATATATAATATATATATATATATATATATATATATGTATATATATGTGTATATATATATATATAATATATATATATATATGTATATATATGTATATATTATATATATATATATATATATATATATATATATATTATATATATATATATATATATATATATATATTCTTCAGTTATGACTAGGAGTGTTTAAACTATTTATTTATAGAATGTAGAAATTTGTTTTGTTTTTTATTTGTTT